TTTCTTTTTAAAACGAAGGTCAACGGCAGCAGCGTCGTATCATATAATTTGCCTCGTGACGTCATTTCTCGATGTAAACAATTCACGACGGTAAGTAGGCAAAATCGGCCTTTAAAAACTTGATTTTCTCCGTAAATCCCAACTTTCATGCGACGCAACATCGATATATGGTGTTTACATAATATATAGAACATATGGTGAGAATTTCGTTGACTACTAAGTCTATGCAACGGTTAAGGTGATATTTTACTGGACTGACTATCAATCACGTTGTCTAAATAAGCTGGTGTTGTGGTCAAGCCTCCTAAATTCTGCCCACTAATTAGTAAATTTTGTTCGTGGGTCATGGATGTCTTGCAGACATGAACAAGCTCAGTGTAAACTGATTAATTTTTAATTAAAGTAATTAATAAAACAAGTAAGAAACCCTTGTGGTTTTGTTTTACAATCAAATCTAAATATCAAATGAATAATAATAATTATTAATAATAATAAATAATAATCGTACATCAGTACGTAGACTACCGGCTTTCCAGTTGGGTGACTTAAAAAGACATACTCACTGCTATAACAGGGTTGATTTCATGGCCACAGCAGAAACTAAAAACTGCCGAAGTTATAACCGGCGTTAATTTTATAGCGCCGGCGATTATATTTTTGCCGACCTACTTTTTTCCTAATTTTGAGGGCTGCATGTAGGTATTTAGTCGTAGGTGTAAGATGAGAGAACATAGTGTTTTAGTCATTTTACCCATTCATTTCAAATGATGTTATTTTTATTTACTGTATTGAAACAAGTGTTTTTTGTTCAAAATCGATATTGAACATAATATGTTGACTTAAATATTAATAGCTGAAAGTGTTCCTAATTCTAATCCTATTCAACTAACTCTATTAGTCAATTAAAATGTTTCCAATTGATTTTTCACTGCATGGCAAGTCACTTTGTTGTTTTTTCCCCATCACGCTAAGCAGGTGTGGTAGAATGAAAAGAATTAATTAATGGACCACCCAAGTTTAGTTAATAAATGGATGGATGAATCGTTGTCTACTGTGCTCATGATAGGGATATCGATTTAACATTTTGATTTGTATGGTACTGGTAAATCATCTCTGTGCACTTAATCCAATGACTCAAATGCAAAATAAAAACATAACACCAAAGAGTAATTAAAACAATACTTGGGTGTAGTTAGGGCCCTGTAAAAGTAAAGTTTTATGTCCATATGTGTGCCTACTTATATCAAAACTTGTTTTTCATATTGATCAATCTGCAGTCACCGAATCAGATAAATTTCCAACAAAACGTGTATAGTTACAGTATTCAAACGGTTTAAAAGAACTGCCAAATGAAATACTGATGCATGCAATGATATATTATATATATATATTATTGATGTAATTGATATAAAAAAAATGACAAATGAATAATGAATGAAACAGAAGGCGGAAGGTAGCGCTGATGGAAAGAAACATGGGAAGAAGCAAAGAGTTTGAAATAAAAAAGAAAATAACTAAAGCTCAGTACTGCAAGCAACCTGTCCTCTTGACTGAAAATATCAAGACTCAGTGAAAAGCTCTAGAAAAGAATAGAGAAAACCACTAACAGGCTAACAACCAGAGAAAACAAATCAGAATGTAAATTTAATGTAACGTAATAATAAAATGCAGGACAAATAATACACTAATGGTCAGTCCACAGTGCTCAAAACGCAATTAAAATTAAAATTATTCAATGTAGAATTGCGCATTTTATATCTGTACTATAACAATAACAATAATAATAATAATAATAATAATCCCCTAATAATAATAATAATAATAATAATAATAATAATAATAATAATCCCCTAATAATAATAATAATAATAATAATAATTATAATAATAATAATAATAATAATAATAATAATAATTATAATAATAATAATAAATATAATAATAATCTCTTTATACACGGTTGAAACCCAAATTAAACATAGAAAATACCATTTAAGAAGCATTATAAAGACTTATAATGTTCTTCTTGAGTCCTTTCTGATTCGTCAAATCCTGTTCTGGGTTCAAAATCAGTTGGTGGATTATCGTTCGGCGCCGGTGATTATTCGTTAATGCACCAGGTAGCAGCAGCGATTACATGCATGATCTGATAAACTGTGATACATTACCGTACCTGATATAAACAGCACTGCTAGAAGTAAAATTGTTGAATTCTGTCTACACATAGCGGTTAATTTTCTCTATCGTATTTCTTACAATAGCTCCTTCTGTTAACACACCAATGTGTGACGTATACAGATTTGTAGTCTGTAAAACTGCAATGAAATTCCCTGCTTGCAAAAACCTCTGTTTATCAAAGTTGTGCGTTCGTTCTGTTATTTATAATGTAACTATTGTTCAATACTTCACACCTACTGTACAAAAACTGAGTCTGAACACCAATAGGAATTGTGACCATTGTACCAACATGAGTACAATATACAGTCAGGTGACTGTTCCCTGATACAGTAAAGTACACATGGATGCACATGAATTATAACGTGTTGGTGCACGAACAATTTACATTCTAGCATTGTGCAGAGTAGCTTGTTTGAGCCTTAATGCCCTGGGAACTGGGTCTTGGTGAACAGGAAATATATTTTGCCCTCTTCAGCGGTGTTGACGTTTTAAGGGTGTATTTTGTTGCTTTTTTATACGTTCTACTCCTTATAAAGGCCAATTATGGGGCACAAAGTTATTATTTCTTTTTTATTTACTTAAAATGTACAACATGCAAAATACCTTGGAACCAAATACATTGTTTTTCAATAATGTCTTGTATATTTACCAACATTGGATTATTATATACAAGTTAGTGTTATGCCAATGAATCCCTTTCGTAACAGCGAGATGCTGACCGTGCTCAAAACGCAATTCAAATTCAAATAAAAAAAAGAATGAACTGTTGTTATGCGTACGTTGGTGGGCGAAACGTTTGTCATGCTGTTGTAATCAGGTTCATGAATAATATTACATATTACACAGGTTGTTATGAACAATTTAATAGAATGCTGCATGCTTTTCGCAACAGCACAGTATAATACAAGCATAGTGGTCTGAGCAGTCTTTGTTATACGCCCCTCTTTACACATACTGAATTCCAATTCAAAGCTATTTTATTATTATTTTATTGTTACTTGTATTTTCTCGGTTGGCCTATATTATTTATTTTTAAAGCCGTTAGGGGCAATATGCAATATGTATATAAATATAACATTATTATTATTATTATTATTATTATTGTTATTGTTATTGTTATTGTTATTATTGTTGTTGTTGTTGTTGTTGTTGTTGTTATTTTTCAATGCCCAACTGTATAACAGATAACTTAACAGATGAACTTGTATGTAACCATATAAGAATGCATACCCAATCCTACCTCGTATCTCAAATTGATTCACGTCACTGCAATTAGATTTTAGTGATTAGATTACCATTAGGTAAGTACGGTAATAATTTACAACATTAAATTACAACATTTGTGTGCAATTAAAAAAGAGCATGTTTTATCCATTTTTACTATTAAATACTTCATATCTGTGTATTATACCGTTTTGACAATAACGTTTTATGGTATCCAGTGGCGGATTCAGGAATTGAAAATAAAGGGGGCCCAAAGAGGGACTTTCACAGATGGAAGATCTATACTACCTCAGCCCCACCATGGTTGGTGCTGAGGCAAGGAAATTTATGATTATGGAACCTCCAGATTGCCGGAAATGGCACTCTTAGACTTACAATTTTTTCCTCTTTTGTGCATGGGGTCGTCCCACTTTTATTCATAAGTTCAGCATACAGCAACCCTTAATTCGTATTAAGGGAATTTACGCCCACAAACCTTGTAGTTCTTAATATTTTGGTTATAATAGAAAATATTTATATTTTGGTGACGTCACACTCACGATATAGTTAGCATGCATACGTCATAAGCTAGATTACGTCACCTATATTGCTGGTAAGGCAAAAACTTTCCCGGCGTGCTTTTTTCCTGGATAAACAAACACCACTGCTTTACACATGAATGCCTTGCCTAGTTATTAGGGCTACAAGAGCCGCATTTTTAGCATTGTACGCATTGTATATTACACAAGGTACGTCTGCAACTAAATTATTCTTAGTTATTTTTTTTTTCTTATTTTCATTAATTTTTTTTCGAAAGTGTACTTTCTATCACATATAATTGCACTGTCTACTTAGGCCTAGGCCTAGTATTATGCCTCATCGTCCCCCGCTACTCAGTACAT